CCGCTCCCAGACTATGTCCGGCTACATCATGTAAAGGTGGAGAAAGGTAATCCAGTTAAATTTGGTCCCTGGTCAGAGGCAGCAACTGTCCAAGGTAGATGGCAGAGTGAGAAAGGGGCTATTAAGAGCTTCTGTATAGCTTTGGACTGGATGGCCCTTGTGGTCTCTTCCAACTCTATAATTCTATGATTCTATGATTCAAATAAGACAGAGAAAATTAAATAGAATATTTTTTAATAGAAGCATTACAGTGTATCACTTGAGTTCTATCCTTCTAGATCAGGGGTAGGCAACCTTTCCCCTTTAAGGGCCAAGGGACTTCAGCTCCCAGAAGCCTCAGCCATGTTGGCCAATAGTCCCCTGTTGGCCAATAGCTCCTGGGATTCTGGGAGCTGAAGTCCCTCGGCCCTTAAAGGAGAAAGGTTGCCTACCCCTGTTCTAGATAAATGCTTTAGAAAGAAAGAAGTTAAGGAGGCCCTGGAAGGGAATAGAAGGAAACCATGGGAGGATTGCAGCGCAACTGGAAATGCATTGGGAGGGGTACAAGTGGGATGGACACATCTGCATCTAATGTCACAGTCTACGTTACAAAGAAGAAACCCACACATGAACTGAAATGGGTGACCTTTCTATTGGCATTTAAAAAAATATCAGAAGAGAGTTTGGATAGGGAAGTGCCAAGAAATGTCAAAAAGAAAGACTAGGTGGTGTAGTATAAATTGACCCAAATCATCACTCTGGATGAGCCCCATGTCTAGTGCAGTGTGTTTTTAAGTTTGGTGTACACACACCCACACAACCACACACCGATTTAATGAATTTAAATATTTTAATGTTTAACATTTTAACTTTTAAAAAAAATTAATTGTTTTTAAAATCTTACATTTATACTTTTATTAACGCCAGTGTATAGTTCTTAATTCGTATTGTTTTAAATATGTTGTTCACTGCCTTCAGTCCCATTATTGGGAGAAAGGTGGGATATAACTGAATAAAATAATAACAACCTCCACAACAACAACAACAACAACAACAACAACAACAACAGCAAGAATTTCCCATTCTCCCTCAGCCTCCTTCTCCCTATCTCTTTGGCTCCTTTCAGCCATGGTTCTCTTGGAAGGGATGTAACTTCCTCTTTCCTTGAGGATGGAGGAGATCTTTTGGGATTTGAAAAAAAAAATGGTTCTTGCACGAGGACATCTCTGCTGTCTCAGTTGGGAAGGATGGTGGTGGCAGTGGCAAGATGCTGGGTTGGTCTGATCCAACATGGTTCCTCTTAGAATCATATAATCGTAGAGTTGGCAGAGACCACAAGGGGCATCCAGTCCAACCCCCTGCCAAGTAAATTAATAGTTACATCTTGTTTCCATACTGAAGAGGAATGTCAGTATGTATCTGGCCTTGTGTCATAATAGCCCACTTAGAAGCGTATTGGGGTGAATTGGTGAATAGGGCTTGGGTCCTCTTGGTAACTGACTGACAGACCGCTAGGACGTTATCACATGGGGCAAATCTGCTGTTTAATCCACACAAATCCCAAACAGAAACTGGA